CGGGGGCACTGAGGGGTGGGGAAACGGGGCAACCCCAAAATGATGAGTGGGGAAACGGGGTGACCCCAAAATAATGAGTGGGGAAACGGGGCAACCCCAAAATGATGAGTGGGGGAAACGGGGCGACCCCAAAAGAGAGGTGAGGGAAATGGGGGCAGGGTTTGGGGTGTCCCCTGCAGTGCTGAGGTGGGATTTGGGTGCCGTTTTGGGGGCTGTTTTGGGGGTGTCCCCGTCATAGCGAGGCAGGATTTGGGGAGAGTGGGGCTGGATTTGGGGTGCCACTTTTGGGCTGCTGTTTTGGGGCACCATGTTTGGGGTGCATTGGCACTGTTGGGGTGCGGTTTTGGGGCACCATTTCTGGGGTGCGTGGGCACTGTTGGGGTGCCGTTTTGGGGCACCATTTCTGGGGTGCCCGGGCACTGCTGGAGTGCCATTTTGGGGCACCATTTCGGGGTGCCCTGGGAACTATCGGGGTGCCATTTCGGGGTGTGCCCGCAGTGGTGACGGCGGCCCAGGCCAAGAACCTGATCGACGCCGGGGTGGACGCGCTGCGGGTGGGGATGGGCAGCGGCTCCATCTGCATCACCCAGGAAGGTGGGTGGCACCGGGACCCCTGACCCCACCCTGGCACCCCTGACACGCCTGCAGTGTCCCCACTGTGCCCTTCGCTGTGGGCCTGTACCGGCTGTCCCCGTGTCCCCATGGCAGTGTCCCTGATCCCCTGTCCCTGTCCCTGTGATGGTGTCCCTGTCCCCACGGCAGTGCTGGTGTGTGACCAGGCTCAGGCTGTGGCCATGGCCCTGCCATGTCCCTGTCCCCATGGCAGCTCTGGTCTCTGGTCATGCCCAGGCCACAGCCATGTCCCTGACGTGTCTCTGTCCCTGTTCCCATGGCAGCTCTGGTCTCTGGCCATGCCCAGGTCACGGCTGTGTCCCTCACAGTGTCCCTGTCTCTGTCCCCATGGTAGGGTGGCCGTGCCCAGGCCATGGCCGTGTCCCTCACAGTGTCCCTGTCTCTGTCCCCGTGGCAGTGCTGGTCTCTGGCCGTGCCCAGGCCATTGCCATGTCCCTCACAGTGTCCCTGTCCCTGTCCCCTGGCAGTGCTGGCGTGTGGCCGTGCCCAGGCCACGGCCGTGTACCGCGTGGCCGAGTACGCGCGGCGCTTCGGTGTCCCGGTCATCGCCGACGGCGGCATCCGCAGCCCCGGGCACGCCGTGAAGGCGCTGGCGCTGGGAGCCTCCACCGGTGAGGGCAGGGCGCGGGGCACGGGGGGCGTGGGGGGCACCCAGCACAGGGGGAGCACCCAGCACAGGGGGGGGTCCCGTGGCCAGAGCCCCCCGCGGGGATCCCGCAGCCCCCAGCCCATCCCGGGGATCCCACAGCCCCCAGCCCATCCCGGGGATCCCACAGCCCCCAGCCCATCCCGGAGCTGGCCCCACAGCCCCCAGCCCAGCCCGGGGATCCCACAGCCCCCAGCCCATCCCGGAGCTGGCCCTGCAGCCCCCAGCCCATCCCGGGGATCCCGCAGCCCCCCGCCCATCCCGGCGGGTTCGGCGCCCCCCGCCCCGCCGGGGGTCCCTGACGGGCTGTGTCCCCCCCCAGTGATGATGGGGTCGCTGCTGGCGGCCACCACGGAGGCTCCGGGCGAGTTCTTCTTCTCGGAGGGCGTGCGGCTGAAGCAGTACCGGGGCATGGGCTCGCTGGACGCCATGGAGCAGGGCCCGGGCAGCCAAAAGCGCTACTTCAGGTACCCCGCGGGGCCGGGGGCGCGGTGCTGCCCCCCGGCCGCGCCCCCAGCCCCTCCGTGTGTGCCCGCAGCGAGGGGGACGCGGTGAAGGTGGCGCAGGGCGTGTCGGGCTCGGTGCAGGACAAGGGCTCCATCCACAAGTTCGTGCCGTACCTGCTGGCCGGGCTGCAGCACGGCTGCCAGGACCTGGGAGCCCGCAGCCTCTCGGCGCTGCGGTCAGTGCGGCGGGGGCGGGGGGCTGGGGGGGGCTGGGGGGTCAGGGAAGGGCTGGGGGGTCAGGGAGGGGCTGGGGGGTCAGGGAGGGGCTGGGGGGTCCTACAGGGCTGGGGGGGGTCAGGGAGGGGCTGGGGGGTCCTACAGGGCTGGGGGGCCGGGAGGGGCTGGGGGGTCCTGGCAGGGCTGGGGGTCGGGGATGGGCTGGGAGGTCCTGGCAGGGCCGGGGGTCCGGCAGGGCTGGGGGGCCCGGCAGGGCTGGGGGGGCCCGGCCGCCCCCACCGACCCCCCGAGCCCCCCAGGTCCATGATGTTCGCGGGGGAGCTGAAGTTCGAGCGCAGGACGGTGGCGGCGCAGGTCGAGGGGGGGGTGCACGGGCTGCACTCGTGAGTGGGGACGGGGCTGGGGGCTTGGGGGTCTCGGGGGGCTGGGGGAGTTGGGAGGGGTTTTGGGGGATACAGGGGTTTGGGAAAGCTGGGGGATTTGGGGGAGATTTTGGGTAGCTGAGAGTGATTGGGGGGCTGAGGGGGTTAGGAAGAGGTCTGGGGGGGGCTGAGGGGGTTTGGAGGAGGTCTGGGGGGGCTGAGGGGGATTGGAGGAGGTCTGGGGGGGGCTGAGGGGGTTTGGAGGTGGTCTGGGGGGCTGAGGGGGTTTGGAGGTGGTCTGGGGGGGGCTGAGGGGGTTTGGAGGAGGTCTGGGGGGCTGAGGGGTTTTGGAGGAGGTCTGGGGGGGCTGAGGGGGTTTGGAGGAGGTCTGGGGGGCTGAGGGGGTTTGGGACCCGTGAAGGGTGCAGGAGCTGGGGGGATCTGGGGCGCGGGGGAGGTTTTGGGGGGCTGAGGAAGGCACCAGTTCAGATCCCATCGCAGGGCCCCAGTTGCCCCAGTCCAGGCTCTGGGGCACCCCCGCTTTGCGCAGTGTCGGGGATGGGGGTCGGGGTCTGGGAGGTTCCTGTGGCCCCCCTAACCCCCCTCACTTTGCCCTCCCCCGCAGCTTTACGGTTCTGCCCCGTAAGTACCTGCTCCCCCCGGGACTGGGGGTGCTCGGGGGTCCCCTTTGCCCCTCCTCTGTCCCCTCCCTGAATGATGGGGGCTGGGGGAGGGGGGACCCCCAGTCTCCCAGCCAGGATCTGGGGTTTGGGGACCCCAACCCCCCCATAAGGGTTTGGGGGTTCCCTTCCCCCCCCTTTGACCCCCGCCTCGTCCCCGCAGTGCCGAGAGGGGGCTGCCCTGAGGAGGGGTCCCCCAAGGGCGGCGCCCCCCGCCCGGAGCCTGCGGGGACCCCTCCGGCCCCCCGACACCGGCGCTGCTGATGCTGCACGGGCACCCCGCCATGGGGGCACCCCGCCATGGGGGCACCCCCAAACCCCCGAGCACGGGGGCTGCGGGCACCTCGGGAACCCTCCCGGAACTGGGGGTGCGGGGAGCCCCCAAACCCACCGGGGCACCACAGGTGGGGGGGATCCCCAGAGCCCCCAGAAATGGGGGTGCAGGGACCCCCCTAAAGTCCCCGGGGCACCACGAGGCTGCGGGGACCTCCCCGGCCTCTCCAGAGAGGGGGACGGACACAGGGACCCCATAACCCCCGAGTGGCGCGGGGACCCCCTGAACCCCGCGGGGACCCCAAATCCTCCCTGGCACTGGGGAGCTTGCAGGGCCGTGTCCCCCTGTCCCCCCGAGTGGGGATGGGGGGACCCCCGCAACCTCCAGGGGACCCCCAGAACTGCAGGGGCCTCCCCAGCGTCCCGGGGACCCCACAATGTCCCGGGGGACCCCACAGCGTCCCGGGGGACCCCACAGCGTCCCGGGGGCCCCACAATGTCCCGGGGGACCCCACAGTGTTGTGGGGGACCCCACGGGCCTGTGGCCTCCCGGTCTGGGGGAACCCCGGACTCGCTGAGTCCAGGGGTGAATAAAGGCTTGGAGCATCGGAGCCTGGTGTGTCCCTGTCCCCGGGCTGGCCCCGGGCTGGCCCCGGGCTGTCCCCGGGCTGGCCCCGCTCCTGTCCCCGGGCTGTCCCTGGCCCTGTCCCCGCTCCTGTCCCCGGCCCTGTCCATGGTCCTGTCCCCTGTCCCTGCCTTTGTCCCCCCCACCCTGTCCCCGTTCTTGGCCCTGTCCACGGTGCTGTCCCCGGCCTGGCCCAGGCGTGTCCCTGTCCCTGCCGGTGGCGCGGGGACCGGGGCGCACACGTGGCACCAGGAGGGCACACGCCGTGACACGCGTGGCACACATGGCACGGGTGGCACACATGGCACGGGTGGCACACACATGGCACGGGTGACAAAGGCTGGGACACACCTGGGGCCCCACAGGTGGCAGCACCCAAATACGGGACCCCAAATGTGGCACCGTCCCAGAAGTGAGACCGCCCCCCCAAACTGTGGGACACCCCCGAAATCCGGGACAAGCCCCCAAATGCAGGATAGTCCCCCCGACAAATGGGGGACCCCTCCCCTATGGGGGGCACCCCAAACGTGGGAGGATCTCCCAAAAGCGAGACCCCCTTCAGATGTGGGACATCCCCCCAAGTGCGGGACCCCCAAGTGTGGGACCCCCAAGTGCGGGACCCCCAAGTGTGGGACCCCCAATTGCGGGACCACTTCTACCTGTGAGACCCCCCCCCGCTTTGTGAACCCACACCTGAGCGCCCCCCCCCATCCAGGAGGGGACCCCTCAATCCTGGGAGCCCCCCGGGTGTGGGGCACCCCCAAACCCGCCGGGTCCCGGTGCCGGGGAGGCGGGGGGAGCCCGGGGGGCGCGGGGGGTGGGAGGAGGAGGAGGAGGAGGAGGAGGAGTGGGGGGGGGCTCGGCCCGCCCCTCCCGCCGCTGCCGCCGCCGGGGCCGGGCCGGGGCTGGAGCCGCCGCCGCCGAGGCCGGTGGGTGCGGGGGGCGGGGGTGGGTTTGGGGGCGCGCGGGGGTTTGGGGGTGCCCGGGGTGGGGGCAGCCCCCGCGCGGGGGGGCTCGGGGCGCTGCCGAGCCGGGTTTGGGGGTGCGGGTTTGGGGGCGCGGGGCGTGCCCGGGGTTGGGGTCCCGGGGGGGGCGCGGATGGCGAGGTGGCGGCTGCGGGGGGAGGGGGCGAGCGGGGTTTGGGGGTGCGGGGGGGCCCCGCGTTTGGAGGCGAGGGGGGGCCGGGTGCGGGCTCCGGGGGGGGCGGGGTCGCGGCCGCGGGGCGAGCCGGGGTTCGGGGGGTTCGGGGGTGCCCCCCCAAACCCTGCCGAGCTCCGCGCCCCCCCCCGCGCCGCCCCCGCGCGCGCTGTCCCCACGCACACGCGCTCGCTCGCGCCGTCACGCGCGCGCACACGTGCGCTCCCGCACCCACGCGCGGGAAAAGGGGGGGGGGCTGCGGGGGGGGCACGGCCGGGGGGCCTCGGGGGGGCCGGGGGTGCGGGGTCGGGGTGCGGGGTCGGGGGCGCGGGGGCGGCACGGGGAGCGCGGGGTGTGGGGGGCACAGGTGGGGTGGGCGCGGGGCTGGGGGGGCGCTCCGGTGGGCGCGGGGGGCGCAGGGGGTGCGCCCCGGGCCGTGCCCGTGTCCCCCCCAACCCCTCCCGCAACATCCCTGTCACACGCGTGGGCACGGCGGGAGGGGGCGGGGGGGGCAGGTGCGACCTGCGGGGCGCGCGCGGTTGTGACCCACGGGTGACACCGGCGCTGCGTGGGGGAGCCCCCGTGGTCGCGGGGGGGCTCTTGGGGCCGGCGAGAGCGGGGGTGGCAGTTCCGGGGGGCGGCGGCTGCGGGGGTGGCGGTTCCGGGGGTGTCCCGCGTGGGGGTGTCCCGCGTGGGGGTGGCAGGGTCGGGGGTGTCCCGTGGGCGGTGTCCCGTGGGGGGTGGCGGTTCCGGGGGGCTCGGACACGTTCCGGGGGTGCCGGGCTGTCCTGTGCGGGGGCCGCGGGTCCCCGCGTGTCCCGCGTGTCACTTCGCATCCGTCGTCCCCGCGCCGCCGCCGCCCTGACGGGCGCGGTGCCGCCCCGCGGCGACAGCCCTGTCACCCCGATTAGGGACCTGGCGCGGGCGGGGGGGCTCCGGGGGAGGGGACACCTCCGCACGGCCCCGCGGCGGGGGCGGCCCCGCGTGCCCCCGTCCCCGCGTGCCACCGCGGCGCCCGCGCTGCTCCCGCCCTGCCGGGGGGGCTCCTGTGTCCCCACAGGTGCCCCCGTCCCAGATTCGGGGTGCCCCTGTTCCCCCCCGCGCTGCTCCTGTCCTCCCCCGAGGGTCTCCTGTCCCCAGGTGCCCCCGTGTCCCCTCCGGCTCCCCCTGTCCCTCCCGTGGGGCGCTCCCGCGTGTCCCCGGCCCGGCCCGTCCTGTCCCTGCCCGCGGGGCGCTCCTGTCCCCCCTCGGAATGTTCCCCGAATGTTCCCCCGGGAGCTAACGGGGCTCCGGGATGTCATGGGGGGCTCTGGGGTGTCATGGGGGGGGTCCTGGGGTGTCATGGGGGGCTCCGGGGTGTCATGGGGGGCTCCGGTGTGTCATGGGGGGGCTCTGGGGTGTCATGGGGGGGGTCCTGGGGTGTCATGGGGGGCTCCGGGGTGTCATGGGAGGGGTCCTGGGGAGTCATGGGGGGCTCCGGGGTGTCATGGGGGTCTTCGGGGTGTCATGGGGGGCTCTGCGGTGCCGGGGGGTGACAGCTCTGCCCCCTCTCCACAGCCGCTCCCGATGTCCCCGAAGTGCCCCGCTGGGGGGGCGGCCGCCCCCCGGCTGCTGCTGTTGCTGCTCTGCCTGTCCGCCCCGGCCGCCGCCCCCCCGCCCCCCAGCAGCCCCCCCGGGACCCCCCCGGGCCCCCCCGCGCCCCACAGCGACTCCCCGGTCCTGTCCCTCAACCTCGGCCTCAACTTCAAGATCAAGGTGCGGAGCCAGGGGGGGCCGCGCCCCCCCGCGCCCCCCACCCCCCCGAGCCCCCCCAGGAGCCCGGGCTCCCCCCGGAGCGCCGCGCCCCCCACCCGGCCGGACCCCGGCGATGAGCAGGGCTCCGCGGGACCCCCGGAGGGGGCGGGGGGCCCCCCCGGCCGCGGGGCCACGACCCCCGCCCCGGGGCGCCCCCGGGACAAGCAGCTGGAGCTGGACATCGCCATCGACCTGAGGGCGGGGCTGGACCCCCCCCCCGGGGGGCTCGGGGGCGGCCGTGCCCCCCACCAGCCTCCTGCGGGGCGCCCCCGGACGCCCCCGGCTCCTGCCGGGGCTCTCGGAGCTGGCCGGGAGACTCAGCGCCGCCGGTGAGTGCGGGGCCGGGGGCGGGCAGGGCCCCCCGGGGCCCCCCAAACCACAGGAACACCCCAACACCTCGGTGCCCCCCCCAGGGTTCCTGCTTCCCACGGGCCCCCCCAAAATCGGCGCCGAGGGGGGAAACGCGAGCCTGGAGCTGGACGAGGCGGGGAGCGGCGCCGAGCCAGGTGGGGGGCGGGCATTTGGGGGGCGGGCATCTGGGGGGCGGGCATCTGGGGGGCGGGCGTCTGGGGGTCTTGGGGGGCCTGGGGGGGTGGGGGGTCTGGGAACTGGGGGAGTCCTGGGGGGTGCGAGCGTCCTGCATTTAATGGGGGGCTGGGAGAGGGGTTTGGGGGCATCCTGGGGTTCGGGGGGCTGCGGGGGGCACGGGGGGTGCTGGGATTTGGAGGGGCCGGGGTGGGAGGCTGCGGACTGGGGGTGCTGGGGAAACGGGGAGAGGGGGGAGGTTGTGGGGGCTGTGGGGTGGGGCTGCCTCCCTGCGCGTTCTCGGTGGGATGCGGGATGTGGGGGGGGGGGGGGGGGGGGGTGACACGGGGCGTGCCGGGAGGAACACCGGGGGGGTTCGGGGCGCCCCCAGGATGTGGGGACCCCCCCGGTCCCCCCGCTGACCCCCCGGTCTCTCCCGCAGCGCTGTCCCCGGGCCGCCAGCCCTCCCGGGGGGCCGCGCCGTCCCCCGCCGCCGCCTCCGCCTGCACCCCCGGATCCGCCTGCGGCGCGGGGGGGCCCGGCCCTTCCCTGGCGCCCCCCTTCTCCTGGCCGCCCCACTTTCTGCCGCTGGGCACCCCCTGGCCCGAGGCCGCGGCGCTGTGGGGCGCGGCCTGGGGGGGGCACGTCTATGGGGCGGGGGCGGCCTTCGCGCTGCTGGGCGGGCTGGGGGCGCTGCTGCTGTTCGGGGGGCGGCGGCCGGGGCTGGCGCGGCTGCTGGGGGGGCTGCTGGCCGCCGCCGCCTTCGCCCGCGCCTTCCCGCTCTTCTTCGACCCCTACGAGCGGGGGGCGCGGCTGCCGCCCCCCGCCGCCCGGGCGCTGTTCGAGCTGCCGCCGCCCTGCCTGGGCTGGGGGCTGGCGCTGGCGCCCCCCGCCCGCGGCGCGCCGCTGCTGCTGGGGCTGGGGCTGCTGCACCTGGGGGCGGCCCTGGGGGCCGTGGGGGCCGTGGCGGCGCTGGGGGCCCCGCGGCGCTGCTGCTGCTGCCCCGGGCGCTGTTCGCCGCTCTGGCGGCCGCGCTGGCGCTGGGCGGGCTGGGGGGGCTGCGGCGCTGCGGGGCGGGCGGGGGGCGCGCCAAGCGCGGGCCGGGGGCGCGGGTGCGGGCGGGGGTCCCGCGGCTGCTGGGGGCGGCGGGGGCGGCGCTGAGCGCGGGGCTGCAGCTCTTCGGGGCGCTGCAGAGCCGGGGCTGGGCGCTGACCCCCGCCCCGGGGCCCTGGGCCTGGTGGGGGCTGCAGCTCGGGGGGCGCCTGGCCGAGCTGGCCATGGGGGGGGCGCTGGCCGCGCTCGCCTTCGCCGCCCCCCTGAGCGGCCGCGCCCCCCCCGGCGGCCCTCCCGAGCCCCCCGAGGGCGGCGGCGGGCGGGGGCCGGGGGAGGAGCCGGGGGGGCCCCCCGAGTGCCCCCCGGACGCGGACGGGGACCCCACGGCCGGGTACCGGCCCCCCTCCCCCATCGACCTGCGCCGCTCCATCGACGAGGCGCTGGGAGCACCCGGGATGTTCCGCACCGGGAACGGCGGCGTCGGGAGCGCCGCGGGCACCGGGAGCGCCACGGGCACCGGGAGCGGAGGGAAAGCCAAGAGCAACGGGGTCAGCGTCCTCGGGAGCACCGGGAGCACCGAGATCAGCGTCATCAGCGCCGCCGGCAGCGCCCTGGGCACCGGCGGCACCGGCGGCACCGGCACCGGCACCAGCAGCACCGCCCTGCCGGGGGGCGGCGGCGCCGCCGGGCCGGGGCTGGGCACGGGGAGCGCCGGGACCGCCCTGGGCACAGCCGGGACCGCCCTGGGCACAGCCGCGGCCGCGGGAACCGGCGGCACCGGCGCGGCGGGGACCGGCACGGATGGAGCAGCCGGCGCAGCTGGAACAGCCGGCACGGCTGGCACGGCTGGCAAACCTGGAACACCTGGCACAGCTGGAAAAGCTGGCACAGCCGGCACAACCGGCAAACCTGGCACACCTGGCACATCTGGCACAGCTGGCACAGCTGGCACAACCAGCAAACCTGGAACACCTGGAACAGCCGGCACAGCTGGAACAGCCGGCACGGCTGGCAAACCTGGCACACCTGGCACATCTGGCACAGCGGGAACAACCAGCAAACCTGGCTCAGCCACAACACCTGGCACAGCTGGCACAGCCGGCACAACCGGCAAATCTGGCACACCTGGCACAGCTGGCACAGCCAGTACAGCTGGCACAACCGGCAAATCTGGCACAGCCACCACACCTGGCACAGCTGGCACATCCGGCACAGCTGGCATAACCAGCAAACCTGGCACAGCTGGAACAGCTGGAAAACCCGGCGCAGCTGGAACAGCCGGCACAGCTGGCACGGCCGGCAAACCTGGAACACCTGGCACACCTGGCACAGCGGGAACAACCAGCAAACCTGGCACAGCTGGAACAGCCGGCACAACCAGCAAACCTGGCACACCTGGCACATCTGGCACACCTGGCACAGCCAGTACAGCTGGCACAACCAGCAAGCCTGTCTCAGCCACCACACCTGTCACAGCCGGCACAGGTGGCACAGCCGGCGGGACAGAGCGTGGCACCCCCGGCACGAGCAGGGACAGCAAAGGTGTGACCCCGGGAATTGGCACCGCCGGCACCTCTGGGACTGGGGCACCGGGCACCGCCAGCACCAGCGGCGGCACCAGCGGCACAGCTGGCACAGCTGGCACAGCTGGAACACCTGGCACAGCTGGCACAGCGGGCCCTGCAGCGCCTGGCACAGCTGGCCCATCCGATCCCAGCTCCTCTGGCACAGCCGGGACACGGGGGCCCGGCGCTGCTGTCCCCCCCGGTGCCCCCGGTGCCCCCGCGCCCCCCCCGGGCTGTCCCGCGCCGCCTCCTGCGGGGGCTCCTCCGGGGGGGCTCCCGGTGCGGCCCCCCCGGCCCGGGGACCCCCCCGGGGGGAGCCGCCCCCGCTGCGGCCGTCGCAGAGTTGGGCCGAGGGGACCCCCCGGGCCCCCCCGGAGCCCCCCGAGCCCCCCGCGGGCAGCGACACCACAGACTTGTAGGGGGGGGACAGCCCGGCCCCACCGCCCCGCGCCCCCCGAGCCGCCCCCCGAGTCCCTGGGACCCCCAAATGCGGGTGACAGCGTCGGGACCCCCAAATTCCTGAGACCCCCCAAGTGCTGCTGGTGACAATCCGGGGACACCCCAGGTCCCTGAGACCCCCCCCCCCCAATGCGGGTGACAATCCGGGGACGCCCCCCCACGTCCTCGAGACCCCCAAGTGTTGATGACGACCCGGGGACCCCCAAGGTGCCCCCCCAGGTCCCCGAGACCCCCAAATACGGGTAACAAACAGCCCCCCCGTGTCCCTGAGACCCCTCCAAGTGCTGGTGACAATCTGGGGACCCCCCCAAGTTCCTGAGCCCCCCAAGTACTGACAGAGCCCTGGAGACCCCCAAGGGGTGACAACCTGAGCCCCCCATATCCCGGAGGACCCCAAGTGCTGGTGACAATCTGAGGACCGCCCCCCCGAAGTTCCCGAGCCCCCCGAAGAGGGGGGACAAACTGCCCGGCCCAGCCGAGCCCCCCAGGTGCTGATAAGGACTTGGGGACCCCCAAGCCGCCCCCCAAGTCCTTGAGACCCCCAAATGCGGGTAGCAAAGTGCCCCACCCAAAGCCGGGAGCCCTCCAACCGCTGGTGCCAGCCTGGGGACCTCCCCAGCTGCCCCCCAAGTCCGCGAGACCCCGAAGGGCTGGTGCCCATCTGGGGACCCCCCCCAATTCCGTGAGACCCCCAAATACGGGTAAGAAGCGCCCCCCAAGTCCTTGAGCCTTCCAAGCACTGGTGCCAGTCTGGGGACCCCCCCAGACGCCCCTCAGGTCCCTGTGACCCCCCAATACGGGTAATAAAGTGCCCCCCAAGCCCCCGAGACCCCCACATGTTGGTGATGACCTGGGACCCCACAGAATCCCCCATGGCCCCCCCATTTCCCCCCAGCGTGTACCCAATAAAGTGCCACGTGCGAAGGATGTGTGTGACACCCCCGGGCGGACCCCTGAGCACCCCAAAACTTGGGCTGGGACCCCCGAGCCCCTCTGCCTCCCTAGATCCAATGCGGGACCCCCGAACGGTACCCCAAGGGCCTCTCGACCCCCTTCCCGTGGGGTGGGACCCCCCGAGACCCCGACCCCTCGGGGCTCTGCTGTGGGACCCCCCGACACCCCCCGACCACTCGGGGCTCTGTGAGGGACCCCCCGGACCCCTCGGGGCTCTCTGTGGGACCCCCGGACCCCCCGGACCCCTCGGGGCTCTGCTGTGGGACCCCCGAACCTCCCCCCGAACCCCTCGGGGCTCTGTGTGGGACCCCCGAACCTCCCCCCGAACCCCTCGGGGCTCTGTGTGGGACCCCCGCCCCCGGCCCGGTGCCGCCGGTCCTCCCCGCCGCCAGGGGGCGCTCTCTCCCCGCGCCGCGCACGCGCCGCCCCGCCCCGCTCCCGGCGTGCCCCGCGCGCCAAGATGGCGGCGGCCGAGCCGCGCACGGTGCTGGTGCGGGGCCTCCCCGCCGGGGCCACGGCCGCGCTCCTGGAGCGGCTCTTCGGGCACCTGGGGCCCGTCCGCCGCTGCTTCGTGGTCACCGAGAAGGGTCCGCGCCGGGGGGGGGCCGGGGGGGGGGCCGGGGAGCGGGGTTGGGCGGTGTCGGAAGCGCCATGGGAGCGAGCTTTGGGGCTGGGAGCGGGGTTTGGGGGCTGGAAATGGGGTCTGGGGGGCTGGAAATGGGGTCTGGGGGGCTGCAGGGGCTGGAAATGGGGGATGGGGGGCTAGAAATGGGGGATGGGGGGCTGCAGGGGCTGGAAATGGGGGCTGGGGTCTGGAAATGGGGTCTGGGGGGCTGCAGGGGCTGGAAATGGGGTCTGGGGGGCTGGAAATGGGGGCTGGGGGGCTGGAAATGGGGGCTGGGGGGGCTTCAGGGGCTGGGAGTGGGATTTGGGGGCCGGAGGTTGGGAGCAGGGGGCCCCGAGCCTGGGGGGAAGGGACTGGGGGGCTCGGGGGCAGGAATTTGGGGCAGGAGGAATTTAGGGAGCAGGAGTTTGGGGGGGCAGGAGTTTGGGGGGGCAGGAGTTTGGGGGGCAGGCCGGGGGCACTCAGATGCCTGCACAGGGTGGGTCTGGGCAGGGCCGGTTTGGGTTTTGGGGCTGGCCTGGTGTGGGGTCCCAGCCCGGTGTGGGGTCTCAGTTTGGGGTCTCAGCCTGGGGTCCCGGCCCGGTTCGGGGTCTGAGTCTGGGGTCCCGCAGGCTCCCCGCGGTGCCGGGGGTTCGGGTTCGTCACCTTCTCGCTGGCGGAGGACGCGGGGCGGGCGCTGCGTGAGCCCCCCGAGCTGGGGGGGCGGCCCCTGGTGCTGAGCGCGGCCCGACCGCGGCCCCGGCACCGCGGGGGAACCGGGACAACCGGGGGAACCGGGGGAACCGGGGCAACCAGGACAACCGGGACAACCAGCCAGGGGGAGCCCCCCCGCGCCCCCCGCCCCAAGGCACCCCGGGGCCCCTCCCGCAAGGCCCGCCTGATCCTGCGCAACCTCAGCTTCCAGGTCAGTGCACCCCACCCCCGGGACCCCCCTGGGACCCCCGAGCATCCCCTGGGACCCCCCACGGAACCCCTGAGCATCCCCGGGACCCCCCACGGGACCCCCAAGTACCTCTTGGGACCCCCCTGGGACCCACAAGTACCCCCTGGGAGCCCTGAGCATCCCCTGGGACCCCCCCGGGACCCACAAGTACCCCCACGGGACCCCCGAGCATCCCCTGGGACCCCCAAGTACCTCTTGGGACCCCCCCTGGGACCCACAAGTACCTCTTGGGACCCCCCTGGGACCCACAAGTACCCCCTTGGAGCCCTGAGTTCTCCCTGGGACCCCTCTGGGACCCCTGAGTACCTCTTGGGACCCCCCCTGGGACCCACAAGTACTCTCACAGGACCCCCGAGCATCCCCTGGGACCCACAAGTACCTCTTGGGACCCCCCCTGGCACCCACAAGTACCCCCTGGGAGCCCTGAGTTCTCCCCGGGACCCCTCTGGGAACCCCCTGGGAGCCCCCTGGAATCCCTGGGACCTCAGAGAATCCCCCTGGGACCCCCCGAGCATCCCCCGAGTGTCCCTGAGACCCCCCCAGAACCCCCTCGGGACCCCCC